TTCAACCCAACAGGGTAAACAGCAAACAATACAGTCCAGAAAACCAATCAATACATCAGCAATGAAATACAACAGCAAAAGAAACAGCATCAGCAGCTCTGAATCAACATCTGGCTTCAAGTAATCTCCAATCAGCTACAGGCTTCAACAAGCATCAATCTCCATCTCCATGACCTTTAGGCAAGGGCTTTGATCATCTATCTTCCATCTGCAATGGCTTTTCTTCAAGCTCAAACCTCCAGGATGAGGAATCAGTCACAAGAGTGAGTTGGGTGTTAAGCAATCAGTTGACTACCAAGGGTGGTGAACAGACTGCTTCTAACACAAGAGACATTTTCTCTCAAGAGTTCTATCTCATAGACACTATCACCAAGCCTTCCAAAGGAAGGGGGTGGGTGTCTTAGAGAGACTCTGAATCACAGAGAAGAATGGATGCAGACAAGGCAATCCATGTTTGAAAAACAAGCTTTCTAATCTAGAGCTCTGCCTAGCTCCTAAACCCTAGTCTCCTCAGCAGCTGCTAGCAAGAACCTCCTCTCCAACTCTGGCAGTTGATCTTCAATCTCTGGATCTCCAATGGTCTTCATCACCTCAAGTCCCCAGACAATCCCAATACCCAAGCAAGCAAGCAATAATCCCCAGAGGGCACACCACACCAGTCAATCAAATATACAGTAGTATTAATAGCAGTAGGGGAATCCTGACTTTTCTAAGGGGATCTAATAACTACCCATAGCCCCTATAGTCCCATGACTAATCTATTCAAACCCTAAGTCCTAAGGGAAATGAAATCAAACTTCCTAAGTCATCACCTAAAAAACCCTAATTTGTTCATGTTGTTCAAGCCCACATTAAGCACCTAAAATTAATTCCTAAAAATGGGAACTAAATTGTTTCTACAAGTTCAATATCTCATCTAAACACCCTAAAAAGAATGAACAAAAAATATGAAAGCATCTAGGAGAACAAAAATTACTAAATTCATGCATGAAATGAAGCTATTAATATGACATTTATTTAGAAAATATGGAAAAAATATGAAATGAAAATAAAAATGCCATTTTATTTAATGAAAATTTTCTAGACATTCTAATGAAAATGATGTAAAAAGAATGAATTAAAATGCATTTTTTATGTATTTATTATGAATTAATGAAAATCAAGAAAATAGTAAGAGAAATTAAAAATAAAAATGAAAGAAATAAATGGGAGAGGGGTGTATTCAGCAACCACGCTTAGTTAAAATCCATTGGGCCAGCAAAGAGGGGGGCGCGCGTAGCAAGTTTAGCTTGAGCCCAAAACAAGTCAGAAACAATAAAACTAAAAAAAAACAAGCAGGGGTGCAAATAGAAGGGTTATCACGTTCAAATTGACAATGGGCCTATTACTGGGGGTGGGATTAGCAACATTCACTCAGGCCCGCCCGTTTCAATTAATGAAACAGTGCGTTTAGGGCACCAACACACTTCCCTCCAAAATCAGATTAAATGCTAGCCCTAGGATCGCTCTCCCAGTCAAAAGTCTTACACGAATTGGACGCACACGATTTCATCTCCTCCAATGGATCTGTGAGAACTAGGGTTTCACCATGAAACCTCATGCACGAGCAAACTTGAACCTCTCAGTTCTCCCTCTCCAGTCCATGAAACGCCACGCTATAAACATGAAAATTACTCTACATCTCTCCCTCTACACGTCTATGGCACTAGTTCAATCTGAAATTCACTAGATCACTCAACCCGATAACAACAAATTCTGGTCACCATGGAAATCCTCTGCAACTCATCAACACAATTCTCCATCAAACTTGCACTAATCTAATCTATAACTAATGGTTATCATCCTGATCTATCAAGCTAAGATTATGATGCATTCTACTACAAGTTCCAAGCCCTAACAGTTTTTACAACCTGCTAACAAACATCACCAAACCACTCCAAATTCATCCTAATTGCTCTACTAACCTCCTACATTATATCTAAACTAATAAAATCATGCTAACCTAATTGAATCAAGCTGTGGCAGAGTAAATGCACCTGGTGTGAAAGCTTGTGGATGATGCTGAATCTTGTGGATCTGAGGCTTGTGAGGCTTGGATCTTGATCTACAACCTCAATGCTCGATTCTGTATGCAACACTTGAATGAAACTTGGCTTGAATTGTGCTGTCAACTTGAAACTTCAATTCTGATGTTGATGATGGAAGTGCTCGAAAATGGATTGATCACACTTGATTCTTGGTTGAATTCTGATCTATGATGATGAATCAGTATGATGAAGTTGATTTTGATGATGATTGGTGAAGAATTTGAGGAATTGAAGTGAAAATTCAATGAAAAAGAATGAGAGAATTTGGGAAATTCTTGGTGAAAAATGAGTCCAACCCTTGATCAATCTTCATTTCATGAATATATAGGGCTCACATGAACATTCTAGATCCATCTTACACATTCCCTTGCCTTCCAACTTTGATTCATTTTGGCTATGTTTCTTAAAAGGCAAGTAACCAAAGATAACTTTGAAATCTTCCACTAAACTCAAAAAAGTGCTTGAACCATTGTCTTTAGAATGTCTTTTCCATTCAAAATCATATATTGGAAGTCTCCATTTGGACTTATAAATCTCCCAAACCATTTTTCATTTTGACTTTATTCACATTATAAGCCATTTTAGTTCAACTTTGGACCAATCATGCAACTCCATGCTATGAGCTTTTCCAACAATTTGTAACCTTCTTTCTAGACTTAAAATCCCATTTGGAGCAAGTTTGATGTTTTAAGTTTTTTCATTTGAGGCCTCCTTGTATGAGTTTTGGACATAGGTTAAAATGACCTGTAATTCACAAATGCCCAAAATACCCTTTGCTTGCCAAGACCATAAGTTGAGTTCCACACATCATATGAGGGCATGCTATACCATTCTAGAAAGCTAAGACAATGAGGAACAATTCTTATGTTGACCAAGAATTCATTTGAAATCTCCTTGAGGGGTAAAACTAGCTTGGAAGTCAAGTCACTTTCACAGACAAAAGTTCAGATACCTCAGATGACCTGTAACTTGCAAAGACCATAACTTGAGTTATATAAATCTCCTTGATGTCTTCCACCACTCAAATTAAAGGTCTTGAGATCCTCTACAAGTTTCATGTTGGCCAAGAAGCCATTTGAAGCTAGCATTTTGACTTATCTTGCTTTGTAATTTGACCTAAACTAGGGGATTATACACAGAAACCCTAATTTAGAAACTCCTCTTCTCCTTGATTTCTCTTGAATTCTCCTTGGCATATCTCCATATACTTCTTTATATGTCCAATGATGAACCCCACATCTCTCCACTAGACTTGAATGCCCTTTAAATCAGTCAATTGACCTAGGGTTGACCTAGGGTTGACCCAGATGAAACCCTAGTTGACTGCCTTCAGCTATAGCTCTTGTGCTCTCATCAATGACTTGTCTCCTTCTCCAAATGACTTTCTAAGTCTCTCATAATGTCTAGATACTCTCCATGCCTTCAATTCACAGCTCACAATCCTCTTGTTGACCCTCAGATACCCTCAGCTAGGAGATGGACTCAAGGCTTGATCTGCTGAACTCTTTGCTTTCAAAATCTTTCCTGATGACTTGAATGAGATTGAATTGGGATAATAACCTCTTGATAGGCCTCTAGAGATGAGAATAATGATTGGTCCCCTGTTGAATGACTTGCTATGCTTATGCTATGCAGATGGTTAGTCTATGTACATGACTCTATATGCAAATGCTAATGACATGGAAACATAACCCAAGTGAATAAGGTTGAGCAAATTTTAGGGTGCAACAGGGAGAACAAAGTTTCTCATAGACGGCGCCACTGATCTTGACAGGCTGATCAAAATTTGAAGTGGGCCAGAGACTTTGTCTGTGATGCTGGGTTGCAAAGATGGGGATGGAGTGTACCTGAAAGGCACTCTGATATTAAAATAAGAATCAGGAGAAGAGAAGGCAAGTACAAAGAGTGAATGTCTTAGGGTGATTTAAAATGATTTTGCATACCTGACCCTCTCAAGTGAGAGGGTTTTTATAATGCCTCCAACGCTTAGCCATTGGTCCCTATTTTTAGGGCGAGATATTCCCTCCCAAAGAATAGGTAACTGCCAGAAACTAACTGTTGGGACGGGAAGAGGTGCTTGGAACTAGCCGTTACCACGGGCAAGGGCGTGGTCGCGGGCACATGCGTGGTGACTATTTTTAGATGGTGTAACCGTGCGTGACGGACATGAATGTGATGAGGGGCAGCTGATCTTGGGGGTCAGTTGACCAGCCTTCCTCCTCAGAGGGGCAGAGGAGAGAATGTTTCCCTTTGCCCTTAACTGGCAGGGCTAAGGCTATTGCTCGTAACACTCAGTATTATCAACTTCATGTAGATCCCATTGTATTCCGGAAGCTCGAAGCATCGATCCTAATAACCCCCAATTTATAACTTCTTCTCTACCAACAACACCCACTCCTTCAACCCGTTCTAAAAAATTGGATTTCGCTTAATAAGTTTTTGATATTCAATAACCCTTGTTAAAAAATAATTGCAGAAATTCAAACATTTATCTATCCAACCATAAGATAGATCAGCCGCTACTCCCCCAATACGAAAAAAATTATGCATCATTCTCATACCTGTGGCAGCTTCGAATAGATCATATATTAATTCTCTTTCTCTAAAAATATAAAAAAAAGAGGTTTGTGGACCAATATGTGTATATGAACCACATCATCTCTCAATGATTAGGTTATCTTTATATGCACCTAATATACCATCACTTAATTAAAAAAAGAATATAGAGTAAAACTCATATTTAAAATATAAAAGATTCAAAATCATGGGATAACATAAGTAATAAAACTGCATAACTAGCAAGATAAAACTAGGGAAGAAAAATATGAAACCTCTCATTAATTTTACCACTAAGCTTACTTACAAAAGAAGTACTTAGAACATTTATTTATTTTTTTCTCAAAGTTTGTTCCCCTAATAACCTCTACACATAATTTGCTTTAAATTGAAATATACACTAGGTCTCCCTTCCTGTACCATCAACATCTGAAACTCATTTGGTCTACAAGGAACAGTTAATGCACCATTTCCATTAAATCCATATTTTTCAGCTGCTTTTTCCAATAATCTCACAAACATTGGATTCGTTAAAAATCTCAATGGCACAAAGAATCTCTTTATTTCCTCTTCATCCTCAGCAATCACAACAAAATGTCCTCTTTTCACATCCTTTGATTCATCACCATTTCTTTCCATTAAGAAACACTTTGAGAGCTTTTTGAAGACATTATTCTTGAACCTCAACACTCCATCGACAACAACCGTTTTCATTTCTGTCATGTTTTAATGATACGAGTAAAACATGGATTTGCTTCAATGTATATATTTATAGTGTTGTTCTTTGTTGCTTAGAGAAACAGAAATAATTTGGACGGTAGAGATGAAGTTAGCACACGCCTAACATAAGAATACCGAATATTTTGCTACAGTACATGATAGCAATTCATGTATGTGTCTGATGCAGTGTTTTTGAACAAACTTTTTTTTGTTGAATTGAAGTTTTGAAAGAACTTGTAATTTAACATGAAACGTCCTTTGAATGTCTATGACTATGTCATGTCTTGTCATGCCTACTAAAAAATTGTTAAGGAAACTTATTTTGATTTATAATATTAAGTTATACTTTTTTGATTAAGAAAACATAAGATCATAAAATAGAAAAAGAGATTTGGTTTCGTGTTCATCTAATCTGTTAACTCTATGACTTGTAGCATCACTAATTAATGTGCAGGTAGTAGTAGTATGTGCTATGATCTACTCAATCTATACTCTCTCTCTCTCTCTCTCTCTCTCTGATAAATATAAAGGTCAACAACGCAAATACAGGTGACATCGTACGAGTTTCTTGCATATAACGTTGTCATATTAGATATTAATAAGATATCTAATGATGAAAAATATCTAATTAATTGATGAAAGATAATATATTATAAAGTTTAACTGATTTAATCGAAATTAAACAAGCTAGTTAATAGAAAAATTGTTACGATAAGATTTTACCAAATACTCAAAATAAAAGCAACTTATAATACAAGGATCCTATTGATTTTAAGGTAAAAATTCATTTGATTTAAAGATAATGATAATTTTGGATAGAAACTTATAAAATATTTATCCTAAATAATCCAATCTAAAATCCGTTATTTTAGACTGGTTTTATCAATTCTTTTAAAGTATATAAATAGTAGGACGCACGAGTATAAGAAAAAGTATGAGATAATATTAGACATATTGATAGTTGAATCATATTCTTGAAATAGTATAAGAAAATTTTCTCCCATCTCTTGCATGTTCTTGAATTTTAAGTCTTGAAATTCAATCTTGTAAATCTTAAAAAATGTGAACTCTCTTGAATCTTGGAATAATGTCTTGATTTTGAATTTGGATTTCAAACTGTTACTTGTATCTTTTGTAATGCCGCACACCACATAATTCGAAACAGTCATCCAATTACCATCCTCGAAACCAAAGGGTAGGAAATCCTAATTCTCCCTAGGGAAACTTCCGAGAAATCTTGAGGAATACTGACTTTGTATTGGCTAAGGGACCATAAGAATGAGAGCATGTGTTTCTTTTATCTTCTCATGAATTCAACACAACTTACAAGGACTACGAGCACACACACAATTTTCATGGCCTTTGAACTTTCTGCAGCAACCCTAACTTCATAAAACAAACAAACTAATAAAATGGTTAGCCATGTATGGATGATTGACCTAAGAAGATGTGCAGAATATCAGGGAATCTAAGGGTAAAATTTGGGGTATAACATATAGTATTACAAAAACTGTCATGTTCGCACTACGAATAACCTATTCGCCTAGCGAAGTCCCCTTTTAGGCACGTGAAGTGCCTTAGGAACAGTTAAACCGCCCTTGGAAAATATCTGAGTTTTCCGTGCGAGCAATTCTTTGCACTGCGAACTACCTCGCTATAAGTTCGCACAACGAACTTTGGATCCTTTAGCTACTGACTTCCAAAGTTTCCTCCTCGTTGGGACCTCGCTGATACTTCACTTAGAAAACATTCGCTGGCTGCTCGCTACTGTTCGCCAAGCGAACATTGCAGAACCTTCACATTTCTTTGGCTTCCTTGTCTAATTTTTTGTGTCTTACTCATTGATGTTTTAGGCCTAATTTCTGCATAATAACCCACACATCAAAGAATCCAAAGGTATTTGCAATGTAATTGAAGAATCACACAAGAAGAAGAATTAAATCTATAAAATACATGAGAAATGAGTTGAAAAGTGCCAAGAAACATAGTGCATTTTAATTCAAAATTTGCACTTAACACGCGTGTCATGCAAGGGTTGTGTGATGAGACGGTAGCAGTTAAGTCTGACCCACGATATTTTAGGGACTATATGTGTGATGATTGGAAAAAAATTCACGCATGGGTTTGAAAAAGTTGTCATGATGATAGTGGTGTCATAGCAGACCAAAGGTTTCTGGCGTCGAATACGAACTTCAAAAAATGCCCTTTTCTCCATTCAGTCGAAAATGACATGTTTGGGGGGCTTTTAGTTGGCTGGAAATTTCGATGTCAGACTTTTATTTAAACACACTAAGTGAAAATCAAGTTTCTTGAATTTTGCTGACTTCGATAGGAACATGTGTGAGAAGTTTGGTCGAAGTAGTTTCCATGAAGGAGACATGTCTAGATAATACTTAGAAATATTTTCTAAGTGTAGAGAGAAACTTCGACGGAGGATGTTTGAAGCCTTCCTTTGAAAGAAGTTTTGAAATTTAAATACGGATAAATAACTGTCTTTTGTCCTTATCTGTTTCTCAGGAGAGACACGTGGAGATTCGTGGCGAAATGAAGGCATGCAGAGCAAAATGTGTCAATTTTTGGAGAAATATTTGTTGAAGAAAATTATTTTGACTTGTTCTAAATAGGAGTTTTAGTGTTAGGATTTTTGTGTGTTCATTATTGTATAAATACTCAAAAATTCACTCAAAGTATCTAAGTCAAGTGAGAAAAGAGTTTTTTCATTGAGAAATGTACGTTTGAAATACCACATTTATTTCAATAGAAATTTACCTTCCATTTATCATTTGTCTCTTTACTGCACTTTTTCTTTAAAGTTTTCTTCATTGCATTTCTTTTACCAATCTATACAAAGTTTATCCTTTTTTCTGAAACTTTATTACAAACCTTTATAACATGAATACTGTCGAAGTGTTCTTCAAATTTCCAAAGAGATATTGAAACAATAGCTACACTCTTAGGTTTCACTGGTTGATCCTGCAAGTAAACCAAATTTTTGGAATACCAGCGGTTGTTTACCAATTTTCATGGTAAACACCGCCCTCACCAAAGGGATGAAAGTAAGGTTGACAAAGTTTGGTATCACCAAAAGGATGATAACAAACACATATTTTAATGATCACTATCACCAAAAGGATGAATGTGAAATCAAAACCCATAAATCTTGTTATCACCAAAAGGATGGCAATAAGACTGGCTTGGGGAGATCAACAAAAGGTTGAAGAATTCATCGAGGAAACCCATCTTTATTAACAAAGGTCGAAAGGAATCAACTCACCGGGGACTCCCAATAAGTAAGGTAGGAATCATTCAGAGAAATACCACTGACTGGTTTGATGATATCGATTTTATCAACCAAAGGTTGAAGAGAACAACTCCATATGGAACACCCATTGAACAATGTCTGGTAAGAACTATGCTTGGAGAAACATCAATGAAAGGTCGAAAGATAACCACTGCATCAACAAAAGGTTGAAGAGAACAACTCCGTGGGAAAATCCCAATGGCTTAGCTGCAGATCGGCCTGGAATCTCATGATTGATCCTGGATCCTGACTTATGCATGTATGCATGTTTAATTTTGTAAAAAGTATTTCATATCGGATGAAAATGCAATGCAAATGCTGATGCACCGAGATGCATATAGGGATGCAAATGTTGGGGATGTATATAAATTTTGGTCATGTATGTAATGATGCTTATAACGTGTATGATGTTAAATTATATTACTGTGTTCATATCCAATTACTCTATTATATCATTTGGTGAAATAGATGACTCTTATTTGTATTATTATCATAGTATTTTTCAAGAAAGTGTTTTGTGTGCGTTTGTTTTTCTATTTCAATTGATTAATTTCCTTGGCTAATTCTTTGAGATGCAATACTGTGATCAATCTGTTTAGTTTGCCATAAGATTTTATATTTATATATGTATTTGGTAGTGGAGCATAAAGTTTAATGGATCTTAAAACTTTTTGTAGATGTTCAAGTGGAAGAAGAAACACAACCACCTACTTAATGATGACCTGGTAGCATGTTTGTGATATTATCAATTTCTAAGAGTCGAAGAAAAAGTTTTTCTAGGTCACTATTTTAAGATCTTCTTTTATCCTTTGATGATGTATTATTGTGTTACAGTTTTGCTATTACGTTTGTTTGATACCACCGACTTTATACTCATCCCTATTTTGATTGGCACTTGGTCTGGCAGGTGAACTCTAATTGTTACAATTGAAGAAGTGAATGAGGGTGAGTGCTACAAAAATTTTTCCATTTAAACTTGACATTTTTTTGTTGTTGAGGTCGTTTGAAGTTTAAACTCCTTTGAATTCTACTTGAGACCTGTTCCTTTGGCACCTCTTAAGCTAATGAGGAAATTGATGGATTATATAATAGTTATTTGTTGAATGTCATACTTCCTATTTATTTAACTACTTTTTTGGATTTAGTTTTAAATTAATATTGGCTATATTAACATTATTATAAAAATGTGTTGAAAGGTACATTTACCCAGTCCTTTGTTTCTATTGAATCTAGTGTCTATTTGGTTGAAGAAAAATGGAGGGGAGCGAAACCTAATTGATTGACCTAATCAGAAGGAAGTCAATGACCTGCCACGCGCCATTGATCAACCACCTGTTCACCTGAGGTATGGAAGAGGAGGAGGGTGTAACTACAAGACACTCTGATGCCAAAGTGAGAGAATGGACCAGAGTAAGAGCAAATACAAAAAGAAGGTTTATAATAGAATACCTGACCTTCTTGTGAAATAGGGTATTTGTAGAGAGACCCCAACGCATGGCTAACTGTCACTTACATTGGGTTGGATGGCCAGGCCCAACTCAAGTGACTAATAGGGCTAACGTGGCGTCGTGAAGACCAGGACATGGTCTTCACCCTAGATCAACTGTCCCGTGATCTCCGGAAGGTGGGTTGACCAACTCTTTCGGAGGTGAGTTGTTGGCTGATGACGTGCCCTCGCAGAGAGGGCACGTGGAGAATGTGT